TATATATAAATAAATACATCAATAATTATCTAGTGGATGGATAGTATTTTTGTGTCTAATACCCTACATTTAAAATGCTTTCAATTTCCTAAATACATTTCTTTCCTGAAAGCGCGTCTATTTGTTTGGGGCATCTCAGGTATTCAACGGCTGCAAAAACTTCAATTCGAACTCAGTTCAGCTCTATTTGAAACACACACATGCAATTGGCAAACAAATATACGGGCCAAATTGGAAAACAGTTTCGTGGCCGAGCAAATTGTTTGAGCTGCGATTTTGCTTTTAACTGAAACGCAATGCAGTTGCCATGGGATACCAATTTCAATACAAACGCACGCACGCACACACACACAGGACAGGACTCTGGACAGCTTGTTGGAGCTCGCTCTGTGTCTTCTGGATTTCGCTGGTGTTTCCATTCGTTCAGTGTGTATCTTGGCTAGCGGCAGTGCTGCTAGCCGGGCAAACAGAAATGGAAATAAATAGTTGCCTAGCTCTTTTGTCTAATTAAAACGTTTCGTTTTGTCTTACTTTCTCGCTCTCGCTCTCGCTCTCGCTCTCTCTGTCTTTTGATTTCTCTATTTTTCAGTGTGTGTGTGTGCCTGTCCTCTAGCTAGTTCAATTTGTAGACGTCACATACACGCACACATTTATATATATGTGTACATTTATAGTCTCACGCACAGAGTAAGCTGAGAAACGTGCGTGGGCCGCTGTCAACTCCTGTTTTCTATGCCGGCTGTCAATCTGTTTCATCTTCATTTCGTTTGCCTACCACCTTTTCGCAGCTTCCATATGGAACTGGGGCCTTTGGCCAACCATTATGATGATTTATGGGCGGAAATTATTTTTTGGGCCGCCCATTGGCCCATTTGGGGGCGACAGCTACGGCGGCGAGTCTATGAAAACTTTGGCTGCCCACCTAAAAGCATGCAACAGTTTACATTTTCCATTCCGTTCGCCGCACAGATGTCTTCGCATTTTCCACACTTGACTGCTTCTTTTAATTTGAAAAGCGATTTTCCGTGTGTCCACAGGCCACACCACGCATTCCACTGACCGCAGATTGATGAGTCTTAGCTGGCTTTGGCAGAGCTCAAAATGTGCCATTTCCCGATAGGAACGAGTGTTTGACAACTTGGAAGAGTATAATTTAATTATGGTTGCTTGTGGGTCGCTTCAAGATATTGAGCTCCAGCTATTGAGCTTTGAAATAAGTTGGGCTGTGCAGAGAAATAGGCCAAAGCCGGCAAAAAGTCCAATTCTTTCCTCTAAGCTCTTCTTCTAAGTATTACACCCAAGTATTTCTTCTAAGTATTTTTTCATAGTATTTCCTCTAAGTATTTCTTCGTAGTCTGTCCACGAAACTTTTCTTCTAAGTGTTTTCTCCAAGTCTTTTACGCTTAGCTGAACGATCACACACGATGGCCCCCACTAGGCCTGGGCGACTGAAGAAATGCTGCAGCTGCTGCCCTTTATATAGGGCTACCTTTACTCACACACTCAGTCGTGCTCAGGTAGCAGTCGTAGCAGTCGAGCTTAAAGCGACCAATGGGAACACTCTCTTCTCTTTAAAAGGCCAATGGGAACTCCCTCTGCTGCTGCAAGCATTCTAGCTTCGTTTTACTTAAATATAAATGCGAAATGAACACTTCTGCATACATATAGACAAGTGAAATGATCTTCTGTAGTTTCTCTACATCCCTTTCTTTTGTTAGGCATAGAGATAGAGAGAAAGGCGGAGAGAGAAACTGATCTCACAGTAGTAGTCTATCTGACTCCAGACAGACATACGAATAAATATACAAGGAGACGAACGCATATGTATTGTAGCTTCTTTTAAGAACTGTGACTTCTGTATAGTTTGCCTCAATTTCTGGCTATTCCACTCCATACTCATTTTCAAGAAACTTATTACCAACAAAGCTGGCTGAACTGGCAACACTGCTCAGAAGTAAATCAACAAGTTGCCATTGGCCATTCCAAGTGCTATAAAACACAGTTTATGGTTGAAGCTGTAGCGAAGCTTTTTATAGCTTAGCAAAGCACCCAGCATGCATACGGTTATGCAAAAGCTGTGCGACTGGAATTGTCTGAGCTTGAAAGCTTAGCGAGTACAAACACTGCACAACTTTGGCGTCAACTCTGAAATTCATTTGGGGTTTCAACACCGTTCGGTGCATTACCCACGGTGCTGAGTCAGTTATCAATTGGGTATAACCCGACATTAGCTACGATCAAACCAGTTCTTGAGCACTGAGCACGTAATGCTGTGTCCGTCATTTGAATGAGAGAAGCCCGCGCGCTTATCAACGCACATGGAAGGCAGCCGAAAAGTCAAAGGTGCTTTAAGTTCACCGGGTGCTGGGTGCCTGCGTGTCGGAAACTTTTGGTGAGCGCAAGCTGCCTCTCACTAGAGACACATACGACAAGCTCTTCCAGTGCGTAGGCCAAGCCACACTGGCACAGAGCCGAGCCAAACAAAGCCCCAGCCGTTGGCAGTCGATTCAGTTTGGACTTCGACGTCTTGCCAGCAGCATCGTGAGCGCTAATAAATGTAATAAGCCCAGCTGAATACAGCTAAATAACAGACAACTTTATTTAAAAGTGCACAGCGAGCGTGCGAAAGAGACAGAGCACTGAGTGTGAGAGAGAGAGAGAGAGTACACGGCTGAGAGTGAGAGTGCGAGTGCGAGTAGAGTGAGAGTGAGAGCTTTATGTGTAGTGACAATCATAGCTTGCACCCGCCTCGTTGCCCCGCTGCGTCGTGCAGTGCTCGACTGTAGAATTGTTTTGATTGTGAGAGCGCGAAGCAAGAAACAAAACTGTAGTACGACGTCTTAAGTGTTAAACATCTCGATGCTAAGTGAAAGTGGCTCAAATTAAATAAAGAAAAAAATAATTATAAAAAAAAAAAAAAACAAGTCAAAGAAGGCCAAAAACTGAATTTCGTAATTTAGTGCGCGTTTTCATTTAACTCGTTTTAGCCGCTAATTGTTCTTAGCTTATTTGTTTCGGCTCGAAGGTCAGCTGTTGAGGCTTAAAACGTGTTTGGAGAGGGAGGCAAAAACTAAATGCATGCTATTTGTTATTGTTTGCCAATGAATCAAATTCATATTCGTATCAACTAATTATCGCAGTAAACAAATGAGAAAGCTGTGTGAAAATGTTACAGCTAAAGCTATATAAACAGTTAAATGAAACATTCACTTCAAGTTTAATATTGTAATTTAAATTTAATAAAAGTAAAATATTAAATTGGCCCCCAATTTTAACAGGATTATTTATTTTTCTTTTACCTGTATTCATATTAACTTTTATTTTAATATTCAGTTTAACTGCACCTCGCCGCATAAAAAAACTCCCTAAAAATGAGCGCTGTGGATGCCATCATCAACTATAAACGCAGTCCCAACGAGGACTTTTACGCTCTGCTCCACTGCGACGAGACCTCGTCGGTAAGTCGAAAGTTTAATTAAACCCAATAATTAACTAAGTTCCTAATGAGCTGAGCAGCAAATCCAAGCAGCAGTCCCGTTAGAGATTTTGGCCAAAAATTTAATTTGGAATTAATTGAATTAGGTGCGAGTGCCATGGCAGCCACAAAGGCAACGCTTTTCCGCTTCTCCAGGCAAACAGTCTTAGATAAACAAAGCTAGATAAAGCTACAGATACAGATATAAATGAAATCAAATACAAGTTGACGTTTGCCGACCTGGCTTTCAGCTCGTCGGGGCATTTGCTTTGAGAATTAGTTTCAATTACGTCTCGCATTCAGATTCAGAGACGTGCCAGATTAAAAGAATTGAGTGCGGCAGCAGCTTTGAGATACAACTTAGTAGCTGCCACTTGGCAATTAAACGCCCGAGCCGACGAATGCCTGGTGGAAATCGTGTAGCTGTGGAAAAACTTTTCACTTTTCACTGACAGCCCGAGTCCTTCAATTATCTCTGACAAAAGTTGTCAGCGAGTGCGTGTGCGTGTGTGTGTGTGTGTGGGAATCTGCTTGAGTTAAGCCTGGCAATTATTTTCAGTTTTAATATCAGGTTGCTCGCAGCGCTCGCCTGTCAACGGCCTGACAAGATCTTTGTCATTAGGCTTGCTAGTATTAAATGTGGGCATGGCTCGTCCGTTGCGTTGACATCCAAACCCTTTTAATCGCACTCACTAACCTGTTCAGCCCAAGGCTCTGGCCTAGCTTAATGGAATTTCACTGTATGAATAACACTCGGCACTCGCTTGGGGTTGTCAAATTTTCTAGCTCACAAAATTTCAATAACAATTTTCGGAGCACGCATGAGCATGGCTCGAAGGTAACTTTTCCAGGCTGCGGCCTAATCAAATTCAATGGCATGAAAAATGTTTTGACGTTGCCGTAATTTTCCACCTGTAAACATTTTAATGTTGGCAATTTTTCAAGCTGTCGATTGCATCATGTTGTGCCATCTATTGAATTATGCACGAGTTCCCCCTGGCTAAGCATCACTCCTGATGCTGATGATGAGGGTGATTCTGCGGGCGAGAATGGCAAAATGTCTGCTGGGAAACGGATCTCATTAATATGAAAATTTCGTAGTTTGCTCAAATATAATAAAAGCAAGGATAGCTGTTGCCAAAAACAAAGTCAGCTCCAGTTCTTCAAGCTGTATCCAACGATTGCATTTTATATTCAAGAATTGATTTTCAATGCCAGTAAGCTTAGCACTCAGAGAGCTTGTTTATTATTATTATTGTTRTTGTAAGTAACATATGGATTGGAGGCTTTCAGCAGAGACTCCAAACTGATATTTATTGCCTGCAATGTGTAATTTTCCGTCAAGGTGGTGAAGTTGTAGGAGTTCTGCTCAGACTTTGCGATGAAATTAATGCGATTTTCTTTACTTAATTTCGCTTACTTAATTACTTCAAGTCAAACCATAAGGAGTTCTTAAAGTTAAACAAATGAAAGTAGTTGTTTAGAGCTTATATCACACTCAAATGATAATCACGCCTTTAATAGTAGAAAGTTTTACAGCTAATATAAACTTAAAGAAGTGGCGACCAAGTATCGATGTTGATATATGAGATCAATGATATTGGTTTCATTCATTTTTTCACAAGTGAAAGTTCTCTTTTAATAAATTAAGAGAGCAGAAGATGCACAGAGTATAAATTTAGCTACCTGATATGCATATATACTTATATTCAGTTTATATCAAAGCAGTTTATATTAAGCAATGCATTACTCATGTATATTATGTAAAAAAGACTATAAGATGAATTTATGAAACTAGAAATAAAATATTAAAAAAAAAAAAATTTTTTTTTTTTTTTTTTTTTTTTTTTTTTTCTTACAATGAAACTTGTTTTTGAGCAACTTAAGTTATTTTATGCAAATTATTACATTTTAAATTCCTAAAATATGTTTATATAAAATTTTGCAGTATATTTTACTATTTTTTTCGTAAAAGTTAACAACTTTTGTTACTAAAATAGTCAGAATTGGATGCAATAAGCTTGGATAGATTTTTTGAATGGCCTTCAGTTGAGCTCAGAGCGAAGCGATTACAATTCCTATTACTATTCTCACACAGATGAATCGAGCATTGTTGTACCAGATGGACCTATGCGATGCTCTTAGAAATATTTGCATATGTCACGTCCAGTCTATATTCTATACATGTATGTATATATATGCAAACATGTTCGCTTTATTCTATATATGCATGTATTTATTTATGCATTCACAAATACTTATACCCATGTTGACATATGTATGTTTATTGGCTTTTATAATGAAAATCAGCTTCGAAATATCTGTATCTGTATCTGTATCTGTAGAACAATTGGACTGCAGTCTCTTGATGCTCATTTGCAATTCTCTCCAACGTTGGTGCGGCACAATCCAATGGAAATTCGGTGCAAAGTTAATTTAACGGCAATGCATACTAATTGATCAATTCAATTCTAATTGGTTCACTTTAATTGCATTATGCAATTCGCACACTCGATTGCAACAGAGAACCCCTGGACATTTCTATCTACTCAATGCCGGCCTCTACTATTTGCATATTGTGTTCATGAGTCATTGAATGCTGATGCTATTTCCATAGCTATTGAAAATGACAAGAGAAGTTCTGAATGTGCCTCATGCTGGGTATTTTGTGTTGCTGTTACGAACCTTTTTTGTTGAAGCTTCAAATTTTGTGAATAGACGGCGAAAATAACAAAATGTCAACATATCATTTCGTTGACACACATTTCTAGTTATGTACATATGTGTGTGTGTGCGTGTGTGTGTTTGGTATCAAATTCCCGTTATTGTCTGTAATACCAGGACCTACTACGCATTCACACCCCTTACCATGTATTACGCAGGAATGCAGAGAAAAGCCTGTGTGAATGTCTGCCAGAGATTCATTAAGTTAATTGTGGGCGTCCCCCATGGGAGGAGGGAGTGTAGAATCTCTGTCTGCTGCTGCCTGAATAACGTTTCTTTTTACGTGCCTTTGCCGTTGCAGTCAGCCGCATGAGTAATACAAATTGAAATTAATTATACGCCTCGCTGCCGTTAGCTCAACATACAAAAATCAACGTGCGCTCATTAATAATAGAAATATTCTAATAGCAAACGGAGTCGACAACAATTTATATATATTTATTTACTCAGTGTTGCCAGTTTAGCCCATTTCCGGCTAGATCTAGCCTATTCATTAATGGTCTAGCCTGCTGATAATAAAATCATTAAAAAAGAGTATGGGATGGCATAGCCAGAAATGGAGGCAGACTATGCATAAGTCATACTCCTTAAGAGAACTATAGAACAGAGGAAACTACTCTCTATGCCATCTCATAATAATAAATATTAATGTGCATAAGCTAATTAGCATATCACGCAAATACATACATATATCCTTGTGTAACGTAACGAGGTAATCCGATTTAACTATGTGTGTTCGTTTGCCTTTATATATGTTTGTTTGTGTGTCTGCATATCCTATGTCTCCGTCTACCTCCTTGTCTAACAGTCTGTCTGTCTGCCTAAGAGAAGTAAGAGTCAAAGAAGAACTAAAGATGATCATTTAAGTTGTATATATGTATGCAGCAATATACATTTCCTATTTCTATTTAAGTAAAACGAAGCTAGAATGCTTGGAGCAGCAGAGGGAGTTCCCATTAGCCTTTTAAAGAGAAGAGAGTGTTCTCATTGGTCGCTTAAAGCTCGAGTGCTACGACTCCTACCTAGAGCTGAGCTGAACATTTGAGCACGACTGAGTGTGTGAGTAAGGGTAGCCCTATATAAAGGGCAGCACCTGCACCACTACTTCAGTCGCCCAGGCCTAGTGGGGTCAGTCGTGCAGTGCAGTAAAGTGAAGTGAAGTTAGCAGTGATCGTTCAGCTAAACGTAAGAGACTTGGAGGAGAGACAGAGGAAAAGCTTCAAGGAAAGACTAAGAAGAAATACTTAGAGGGAACACTATGAATAAATACTTAGATGAAATACTTGGATGTAATAGTTAGAAGAAAAACTTAGAGGGAAGACTTATGAAAATACTTAGAACAATTACTAATACTTTTTTTTTTTTTTTTTTTTTTTTTTTTTAAATATAGTTTTAATGCAGCTTTTGTTTTAAACTCTATAGCGATTTATAAGGATACCTTAAGTAATGCAGTGGCTAAATGCCTTTATTACTACGAATTACGTATACTAATACTAGAAAAAATATTTAGAGATAATACTTAAAGGAAATATTTACAACATATAAATATAAGTATAGCCAATATTTATAAGTGTAAGATATATATGTAGCTATATCTATATAGATGTATAGAAATATATTTATATCTAAGCCTTAAATTTGTATAAGCAAGGAACGTCTATACTTTATGCAGACAATGGAAAATAAACAAGCAGCGTAAAGTAATGGCATTATGAATGGCTGCCTGAGGGACTGGCTGACTGAGTGACTGACTGACTAAGCTGGGCAACTGTTGGTCTGTGGCATCAGCGCTTATTGTGAATGTCTGTTATTCTGCATGCAAAGCCATTTTCATCAACAACTGGCACAAACAACAAGGCTCAACAAGAGGCTTTTGTTTTGAAAATTGAGTGTCCGGGCACCGTCCGAGCGCTCTGCCGGTCTACCGCTTTAGCTCTCTGGCGCTCTACCGTGCCACCGCCATGCCATTCAGAGTGGATAATGCGCTTTTGTTGCCTGGGTTGCGATGACAACTGTCAGGTCCTGTCAGCCGCCAAACTCGGCCAACAGCAGCAGGATAAATGCTGTCTGCCGCAAAATATTGCCCGACAGCAACTTGTTGCTGCTGTTGCTGTTGCTGTTGCTCCTGCTGCTGCTCCTGCTGCTGCTCCTGCTGCTGCTCCTGCTGCTGCTACTGGGGCTGTTAGCTGTCACTGCAAACACTTTGGCTTAATTAATTTCAATTGCTCGCACAGCCTTGACGCTAATGTCAGCCAGTCGGTCGTGGCCGGGATCCGATGTCAAGGTTGTCGCAGTGTAAGAAGTTGTCCTTTGAGTCCTTTAAGCCAAGTGCTATTCGCTTGGTCTCAATTCTCGCGCAATTTGGGTCGTCTTTCAGGCCCACGGGAACGTGCGATGCTATTACACTTAGCGGTTTACAGTTTCACACTTGACATTTTCCGGCAAACAATTTCGCGGCGTACAGCAGAGCATCACGTATATGTTTGCTTGTTATTGTCATCGGGACTTATCGCTTCCGTCCCATTGATGTTGCTCTGATTCTAATGCGAGTGTGCGCTTGGTGCTGACAGCTTTACCTGTCGTGCGGCTACACCTGTTCGCGCACCTGTCCTTGACGACGTCGCGGCGTCGCTTGTTCACTTAGCGTGTGCTCAGTATCGACACATCGCCGTAATCATCTTTATGTTCACTGTCATCTTTATGCTCATCCTGGGAATAGCACAAAATCTGCATGTCGCAACAATTTGAAAAAAATTGTTTTTTTCCAGATTGATGCCACAAAATGCTTAATTAATTTATGACAAAACAGAATTTTTCATTGCAATTTACTTAATTTACGTAATTTTCTGTCTTCTTCTTTGCAGCCGGAGCAAATCCAGGCCGAGTACAAGGCGCTGGCACTCCAGTATCATCCGGACAAGAACAGCGGCGACAAGGACGCGGAGGCCAAGTTCCAACAGCTAAAGGTAAGCAGCAACAAAAGAACATTTACCTGGAAACAGGAAGGCAAACATTTTACATATTTAATAAAGTACCGCTAGGTGGGTGCCCAAGTAGGCGTCGAGGGTGAGGGCGAGGGGCAGCCAAAGACTTGTCATTGTGCCCCCCGAGGGTAATTTATTTAAGTTGAAAGCTTCGACTCGAGTTGTTTTTCTTTTTTTTTTTTTTGCTCTTCTTTTTTTTGCATTAGGTGAGCTGAAAGCATTGTTGATCTACTCTCGCCATACACATAAATTATAAAACATAACCCCTCAGTTAGCGTAATAAAAAAACTAAAAGCACACACACACATACACATACGCATGCTGACACACACACACACACATATACGATAGCAAGAGATGTGCGTGGGGCATGCAAAATGGTTGGCTGTCAGTCGGTGAATGCTTAAAACCACATGGAACAAAGCGCAAACATGCACACGCATCAAATACACATACACGCACACATGCACGAGCACACACAATTGAATAACCAGAAGCACACTCATTTACACTCAACCTCAAATTGAATTTTACACATAACAAAAAGCTGCAGAGATCGCGAGCACTTTGCAAGTAGATAAAATAAATTACATGCGACTATACCCTATATACATATGTATATATACCCTATGTATGTGTGTATATGGCTACTATTTTGAAAAGGATTATTGATTTTGCGCTGTGTGAGGAGGCAGCAGCAGCAGAGCAGAGCATCATAAAAATAAACATATGTATGTACGCATATGTTAATGTGCGTCTGTATGTTTCAGCGGCTATTGTTAGCCACCGACAACGTAAGGGAACTAAATCAACTTAGCCAAACAGTTGCCAGTTCGCTCGTCCTTGTTCTGCCTGCCACTGCTCATTAGAGTCCTGTCAGCTACGGCGGCAATAAAACTTGTTACGCGTTTGGGCAACGGCAACGACAACGGCAACAAGTCGAGTGGAACTGTTCTTCTATGGATGATAGTTGTGAAACTGGGTCCAGAGCTCAAACTTGCCATAAGAGGCAAATAAAATTTGCAGCTTGTACAGGTCCCTCTCGCTCTAACTCTCCCTCACTCTATCTTTCTCTCTCTCTCTCTTTCTCTCACTCCCCCCTCTGGGTGTGTGCTTGCTCTCCCTTGCAACATGGCTGGGAGCCTTTTTATGGTTGCTATAACATCAAAGCCATAAAACAAACGCTGATGACGGCTATAAAGCATTTCAAGAGTAATTTTAAGATTCAAATGTGCATAAATTTGATTCCAGCATGTTTTCGTATACATTTTTAAAATTAGTTCTACGCGCATCTGCCTTAAAGCATGTTTGGTTATTTTAAACACTTTCTCAATTTAATGCAAGTAGAAACTAATTAAATTAAAATTAATTAAAAAATGCATTTATTTCGATATATTTGCCAAAGATAATAAAATGCATATCTAATCAATGCACCACAATGCAAACACTCATATTTATTATTATTATCATTTGTCTTGATGTATAAACGTAGCGTTGAGATAACATGAGGAGAGACTGTTAAATTGATAGCAGGATCTGAGTCTGTAAATCTCCTATATCCATGGCTGTCTTCTACTGTTGCAGTAGTATTGGTGTGAGGCTTAAAGCTAGTGCAGAGGGAGAGAGTGAGAGGCAACATTGGCTGTTGTTGAACGTAGTATAGACAAGAAATTGTTATTCCTACAGAGCGCGTGATTATGAGAGAAAGCAGCATGTAAAATCATAGAATTAGAGTTAATGGTAGGCAAACTACCGTTACATATGTATGCACATATATTTATAGTATATGTCCACAAATTTATATATATGTATATGCAAAAACCTTAAGCTTGCTTCATTGTTGTTCATTGTGTGTAGCATTCAGTCATCTCCCAGCGTGCACTTATAAAACATAAGATGATTACAGAAACTACATATATATATATATATATATGTATGTCTAACAAGATGCACACATGCGTATTCTGAGAACAAGCTGAATTTCATGGAACGCATATAAGAACATATTTATATTGCTGACACTCCCATTTTAGTAGGCATCGTGACGCTGTTTCCGACAAGTTTTTAGCCAGGCCGACTTTCGTTCTTTATTGGCAAGAGCAAATATGGCTACAAGGCAAAATTAATTGAAGAGAAATAAAGCAGCCGGCAGCTGACGGCTCGAAAACCTTGCTTGCTGACCCACATAACCAATGAGTAGTAAAATAATTGATTATCACGTGCGAATCATGGCAATAAAATCTCAGAAGCACAGCGTGTGTAATTTTGCTTCTTTGTGTGTGTGTGTGTGTGTGTGTATGTGTGTGGGTGTGAGTGAGTGTGTGGGTGTGTCTGTGAATCTGTGGTCTTTGTCTATTCATTGAATGCCAGCAGACTGCTTTGGCATACAAATTGTAGATGTCTGCTGGTATCAGCTCAGATAGGCTATCGAAGCCACTTGAGCGTGTAACTCACATACGTATGTGTGTGTGTGTTTGTTTGTTAATCACAGTCATGCTAATAAGTATACTACATAAATTGATTATTTCGCAAGCAACGGCTCAAGCCGTAGTCAAACAGAACAGAGGACGAGCTAAATGCTATTTGTTTTGGGTTTTCACAAAATCTGACTTCAATCAACTAATGCAAATAAACAAAAATAAAAAGCATTTTGGAAATTTTTCACTTGCAGGAGGCCAAGGAGACCTTGTGCGATCCGGAGAAGCGGGCCGTGTACGACAAGTGGCGCAACAGCGGCATCTCAATGAGCTACAAGCAGTGGCTGGGTATGAAGGAGCACGTCGGCCAGGTGAGAAGATACACAATTGCCGAGAAAGTGGATAAAGAGGTATGCGTATGGGCCAGGAATGTACCGAAGCAGAGAAGTAAAATTCAATCCCCCTCAAAAGAAAAACGAAAAACACTGTAGACAACTGTGGCGCTRGGTTTTCTCTGTGTGTGCCGTCTGTTTATGCTTTATTTATAAAGTGGGAAAATTACAGTGGCTCACATTGTATGTGACTAGCATTAGCATCAGCATTGTCTCTCCGACTGTCTGCTATCCTTTCAAACGATTTGCACTACGGCAAACAACAAGTGACGCGAGACCATATATATTTAATGATCTAGAAGGAGACCGAGATGATTATTTATTTATATTTATTTGTATATGTACATATATACATATATAGGTATTTCGCCATACCAGCTCTCTGTAGATAAGTTGCCGGAGTGACTCATTCATTTCAAAATGCAGAATAATGTGAGTTCAGGCTCGAGTTTCAGCAAGTCACCTAATATATGTACTCGCATTCTAGCCGTAGACTGAAAGATAATTAAAGTTAATCAATTAACAAATTTTCTAGAAATGCTCTTAACACGCATTTCCATAAAAAGCTCATAATGTTATTTTTAACCGATTTTGGAATTTTGTTTTCATTGTTTGTTAATTCGTTTTTTTTTTTATGCCAAATGCACTTCTTTTAATTTTTTATTGATTTATTTAATGTTTTCCATTTCTATTTCAGTTCTTATTTATTTTATTTTTTTGGCTTATATATTTATTAATTTTTTTTATATATATGTACATATATTTAATTTTTATTTTGTTCGATTAATTTATGAAAGCTTAATTTTTATTCATCTATTTCTTTATATTTACGATTTTTCTCCTTTTGTTTTGTTTATGTTTTGTTATATAATATTTTTTTTGTATTTATTTATTTTATATATATATATATATATCCATTCCCATTCGCATTCGTGAAATACTATTGTTCTTGGGCAACGGAATAAGTGATTAGATGAGATTGCATTTGCATTCGCTCTCTCATTATTTCATTTTGAATTAGATTAATTGCCGCGTTGCAGGCGAGCTTTATGCGAGCTTCCGTAGGAAATTGTCGCGCAGTCATCAAAGTTGACAGGGGGCTGGTTTCGGCCTGGCTAATTTGCTGTGGCCAGATGATGGCAGCTGCCATAAATCGGCTTTGGGTGGTCGCCTGTGGCAGCCATTTGCACTGGTTGCGTCTCTCCCCTGCGGTTGCAAGCAATTTGCACACGTGATGCGTATTTTCCATTAGGTCTCGGACTAAACTCACTCGGCAGGCCATTGCGGTTAGCTTCCCACTTGATTCGCTTGTAAGATGCAGAGCTAGTAAGATTGGGCACGGCACACAGGAAAACCAGACCGCAGGTACAATTAAACCGCAAATGTGACTTAAATTTAATTAGCTACAACCTTGATTTAAACTCCCAGTATAAAGCCTGACTCTGATCGCCTGAGCACCTCCAGTTTTACGTATTTTATGGTATTCTTTCAATGTGCCTCTTCATCCAAAGTGTTCTAAGTGTACGCCGTGCATGCGAACGAGGAGCCAATGCATCTGAGCACAAATTCAAATCGATTCTTATGTAAATACACTCACGTTCGTATTTCAAATCCGACCGGATGCATTGGCTCTGGCAGTAGTTGCGTAGCTGTACAAGAAAATTCGATTAATGGCCAATTGTTTTTCGTTCAATCAAAGTCCATGCATTGGGCCACACCTAAGACCAAGGACCGCATGTTGCCGGAGACCGGCGCCGGAGCCGGTCCGGGCGGTGCCAGCTGCAGCAGCGGCGGCCTCACCGCCGCCTCCCCGAACCCAGCCCATCGACGCGCATCCGAGGGTGGAGCCGCCCTCTACTACGGCAGCCGCAAGGCCGAGTGGGGCACCGAGAACACCGATGTGGCCAACAAATTCCGCAATTACGAGATCTAAGCGGCGGGAGAATGGATGAATGACCTGATGATGATTATCGATGCCATGAGATCAACGTGAGGAGAGAGTCGAACAGAGTAAATTTTATGCATATTTTTAGCCCCTCAGAGGGCAGTATATCTCGATGTGAGTTTGAACAAAACATATTCCAATTACAAATATTATTGAACAAAGCAAATACAAGACATATGCGAAAAAAACATACATATATCAAATGAGCATAGAGCATTGAGCGAAAGTCGCGATTCGCGAATTACAAAATATTATTAACCAACTCTACTTACCTACATATATACAGATATAAAGGCGTACATGTTCTATATACAGGCATAGTACATATATTGATGTGAATTATAGCGTTGCAAAATAATAATTATATATATAAATGTTTATAGGTGTATAAAAAATATGAAAAATGGTAATTAAATATAAAAGAAACTGTAATTTCAATAAACATACGGCTGGAAGGCGGCAAGAGGTTAAAGTTAAGCTTAAGTGAAACATTTGAATGAAATTAGTCAAATTTTAAATGTATACAGTGTCAAACTGACTCACATATACACGAGCACCCACACACACACACACATACTATATAATGAATATATTTATCTACAACTATTTGTATATTGATGTATGTATTTATGTACCATGTGCCCCTAAAAGACAATCCCTTTGGAAGTGTTTACCAGTGCACTGAAAAAAAAATTGATAACTCTAACTGAACCTAGCATCAAAATGCCCACCACACAGAACTTATCGGAAGCGAAAAAGTTAAAAAAAAAAATACCCTACCACAAAAGCGAATTTAACAACTATTTATACATGACAAAAAAACTGCATAGTCAAAAAAAAAAAACAAAACAAAAAAAAAAAAAAAAAAAAAAAAAAAAAAAACAAAAAAAAACTTTCACTTGGTGTCCTTTAACAAGCAAATCCAAAATTTGCAAACAAAACTAAATAACTAAACTATTTTATTAATTTATGAAAGAAAGAGCAGTCACTCGAAGACTTGCTTAAAACATAATGAGAAAAAAAAACAAAAAAAAAAAAAAAGAATAAATATAAATGTTTTGATGCATTGTTGTTTTTAATATCGATGTGTGATGCAATTCTTAAATGTTATACAAATGAATATCAAAATACAAATATATGAGCGAAAATTAAATTTTGCCATCGTAAAGCTACATTATATAAATGTTTATTTGAAATCATATTGAATTTACTCAAATACACACATATTATTGAACGGGAATGGAAGTTTAAAAAAAATAAATTAAAATTAAAATCTAGTGAAGATTCAACTACTTCGTAATTAAAACAGAATCTCCTTAGATCGCAAGCCAAAGAAAATTATTTTTGAGGGCCCACGTGGCGTATGAATGGCGTAAGGCAAAGCTTCATAAACTAGCAAAATTATGCAAATACATAAATGTTGAATTTAATTTAGCTGAATTATGAATGTATAAATGGCAAACAGAAATCCGAATAAAGTCAACTATTTAAAGAAGATTCTTCATTTGAAGAGGCTTCACGAAAACAAAAACCTCAATGCAGTTTTTTCTTATTTATTTAAATTAATCTATAAGTAAAATGATTCACTCCAGTTGACTTCCGGTTAGCTCTAAAACCTGACTGAGCGTGACCTTCGAGTCGTCCCACTGGTAACAGGGTCGGCGATCCGATTGCACGAACTCACGTATCCAGCGATTAAGCACTGCATAATAATAGAGCCACGTTGTTAAACCAATAGAGCTCGAAAGGCCAGCTACTTACCCCACTTGGAGCCCACAATGATGGGGCAGGCGCCATGCATGGTCCTCGCATCGCCCACGCCCGAGGCGTGCAGGTTGTACCAAAACGCGGCTAAAATTAGCGAAATTGAGAGGCATATAAATACGTGAATGCAAAGGGGGCTGTACAAGGATCAGAAGGAACTTGAATGCCTTAAAGGATAGGGCTTCATAATAGTATTTAAGTTTTCGCTTTGATTGCAGCATAGTGTTAATGAGCTTAGACTGTAAGCGCATTCAAAATATTACTAGACTTCCTGCCAGCTCATAGTCCCGTAACGTAATAGAAGCCATTAGCCAGCCCCCATTCAAGTTCCTTCTGCACGTACCTGCATATTTCTTGGGTCTGAGCAGCTGCTTCAGAGCGGGAAATGCCGTCGCTCCACCCTGTTCCACATCGCTGAGCTATCAAGTGCAAAAGGGAAAACATGTTTCTCAGTGGGTTGGCAACAAAGGGCAACAAAGGCCACAAAGGCACTTACATAGAAGAGGACGGTGCCAATGCGATTGCCCATTTCCGGATTGGACACCTGCTTAGTTTCAAACTGGCAAAGGGGATTAAAGGAGCTTTATCATAAAAGATGTATATGAATTTGAGCTTCTGTACTTACGGTTATCGGGTAGAACCAGTCCATATGCTGGGCATAGTGGCCGCCTATGCCGTAGTTGGCCAGCTGATGATCCTCCGCATACTCTGGAATCGAAATACATATACATATATGGCGGAACAAGCACAGTTTCAGTTGAAGCTCACCCAAGTGCAGGTCGGTCATGTCGGCCACGCGCTGATCGATGGTGCGCAGCACTTTGTGGCGCGTCTTCGGGAGGAAGGTGAATTGGCTGGTGCGCGCATTGGACACAACGGAAGAGTTGTGACCCGTGACTGTGGCACGATGAATTTTGTTTTGGGCTAGCCTCATCAGCGTATCGATTTCACTCTGATAGATGACATCGTGGAAGAGCACAAGCAGTGGATCGTGGCTCAGCTCCTCGACCTTCAGGGGTGCCAATAGCAGAAAGGGATGCGTCTCGGTCATGTAGCCACAGCGCAGCTGACGCAGCTCTGACGGCGTGGGTCTTATATGACCATTGCAGGTGTGGCGGTAGAGCTCAAAGTCGCTCAGCTTGGTCAGGTCCTCAGGTAGGGGCTAGATTTGCAAGGCGAAACAAAGATTAGATGAATTGGAGTATGATAATTGAGTCCCATACGCACAGCATGCTCATCGACTGGGTCAGCGGTCAGCTCTTCGATTTGCTTTTGGATTTGATTAAGCTCTTCCCAGTTATCCAAGGCCCTCTCACTGCCTGGCTCTATATTTTTCAGCATTTCCAGGGTATTATTCATGCCTCGGCTTTCAGACTGGCTTAGCCTGGCTTTCAGCTTGACTAGCTGCTCCAAAATCACTGGCAGTAGCTGAGCGCGATCCTTGTCCAATAGACGGCGGTTCGCCTCCAGCAGCCAGGCGTGCGCCAGCTGCAGATGCTCATCGCGCGCCGCCTGTTCAGCTATGTCCAGGCAATGCTGAGCGTCTAGCTGGGTGCTGCAACGCAGATGACGTGGGTAAGTGTGATTAGGGCATTCCCTGTTAGAGTTTCCCCCATTTATTTGCCATGTGGCTCACCCATAGGAAACACCGTCGAGTATTCCAGCAGCCACATGCTTGGTCTGCAATCTATAAATGTACTGCAGACGCAGCAGTCCATCGATGGCGCCCTCCAGCTCCCGGGGATTGGGCATGTCCTCTCGCAGGCGCAACCGCTGCAGACGTGCCAGGGGCTCTGTAATTGAAGGGTGTACGGAGCGTATGCGTAATGTGGTTATCATATAAGTGAATTGGACACCCACTCGCTCCGGTTGCGGCTGCCATGAGATTCGCAATGTGCTCCCAGTCCAGGGTCAGGCGTTTGCTCAGCAAATATTTGTTCAGCGGACTTTCGAAGTACGTCACGCCCGATTGCTCGGCTTGGCTACGCTCGCGCTCGAATTCGTCCAGCCGCCTGTCATTGCAGATTGAATTGCATCAAATTGAATTAGTGCCAGCCCAGCCCAGCCCAGCCCAGCCCAGCCCAGCGCCGCCCGGAGTCAACTTACGCTCGCAGAAAATCCAATTTGCTCTCATTATCAGCGATGAATTTTTGCATGTGCTGCAGCATTTGCTGCTCGTACCGAAAGACCTTGGACATCGCATGCACGGAGGAATAGAACTCGGCCGTGACATCACACCAGTACAGAGCTGCCAGCACAGCCAGCAGCCCGAACAACTTCAGCCTCAGAAGCATCTCTACTCTCGGCCACGACTCGCGCTCAACTGATTTCGCCAATTGACCCCGCCGGCTGATGGCCCGTTGGATAGCATATGCATGGTCATGATTCCCATACGCATATTACATAATTTATAACCCTAGCTGTCAATAGCCAATCGAGCCAAACCTGTTTCTGCTCACGGAAAACGTAAAGAACAGCAGAGTTCATTGTGCCAAATAACTGGTTTTGAATCTACGTGCTAGCCGGCCTTAGGTGTTCCATTGATTTGCAGCCCATATGGAAGATAAACGACGATAAAGAAGAAATAAGTTAAATTTGCTAACAAAGATAGGTCTGAAAATCGTGAGTCCTGTCGAAAGATATATTCTGAATTAACCTTCACATTATTATTGGTGAAATGCAATGAAACATGAAAAAAATAAATAAAATGAAGGTGTAATATGTAAAAATTATTGCTATGGACTTTTATCTCCCAGCTGTTGTAATAAATATTATCAAAAGTACATTAGATTCCCTTTTATTATATTAAACAAGTGACAGCAATTAGTAAATTGAAATAAATCATACTCAATTTCTTCACAATATATATA